TCAGCTGATCGATGACGAGAGAGAGAGTCATCGATCAGCTGCCTTCTGCACACCCCCCACTGGGGTTATGCCCGCAACCAAGGTACATACGCCTGACCAGAATCCAACCCGGGACCCTTCAGTCCCCAAGCCGATGCTCTATCCATTGAGCCAAACGGGTCTTGGCAGTATTGACATTTTAACAATATTAAATCTTCCAGCTCATGAACATGTATTTCTTTTTATTTATTTGTGTCTTCTTTAATTCTTTTAGTAATGTTTTTAGTATACAAGTCTTTCACTCCTGAATTATGTTTGTTCCTAAGTGTTTTTTTACTTTTGATGCTATTATAAATGGACTGGTAGCCCAGCGCATGAATCCATGTGCCAGTAGCTCTCTGCTGCCCTCCTGTAGCTCTCCGCCCACTGCCCGGCCTCCTGTAGCTGTCTCCTGTAGTTTTCCTACGCCTGCTTGTAGTTCGCTGCCCTACCCACCTGCAGATTCATGAACTGATGGCTGCTTGGTTGGTCGTTATGCCTCACGGTGTAATGGATAATTAGCATATTCCTCTCATTATCTAGGATAGTTTACTTAATTTCCTTTTTAGATTATTCATTGTTAGTATAGAGAAATACAACTGATTTTTGTTTGTTGGTTTTGTATTCTGAAACTTTACTGAATTCATTTATTCTAAGAATTTTCTTGGTAGAACCTTAGGTTACTATATATATATATATATATATATATATATATATTTTTTTTTTTTCATATAATCTACAAGTAGAGATAATTTTATTTATTTTTTCAATTTTTGAATGTTTTTTCCTGCCTAATTGCTCTGGCTAGGACTTCCAGTAGTTTATTAAATAGCATTGGCATAAAAATTGGCATCCTTGCCTCATACCTGATCTCAGAAGAAAAGCTTTTAGTCTTTTACTATTGGATATGGTATCAACTGTGGGACCTTTCTGTCAGTTTTTATTGGACAATATTTATCACATCTATTGTATATAGCATACTTTTTTTTAGTTATAAAATGACCATGCTATACTGTCATTCAATAAAGTTTTGAAGATTAGTCTTTTTTTTTCCTCCTTTTTTTAAAAAATCAGGATCCTTGCATACAGTTAGTTCCCAAGTAATACCTTTAATGATTGTATAGGTAGGTATTTATATGGCACTTGCCACCTTATCACTCTGTTTGGAACATCTATTAAATAATAGATGCCAATTTTATAAATGACTTTACAAAGCTAAAGTAGTAGTTTTTCCCTTCAATATCTGGCAAAGTCAGCACTTTTGATTTTATTTTTTAAAAGGATACTGATTCAAACATAAATTTATTTTAATAAACACCAAAAAATCTTGCTTTCACTGCTGTCCATCTTCTCCCTTGTTCCCTGTGTGTAAGAAATATTTTCTTTTGCGACTATAAAAAAGTAGACTTGTATATTCTCATATTCTTTTATTTTATGCAAAAAGCAAATAGTTTTGCACAAAAGTCACAGACCTCTTATAATAGATTCCAAAAATCTTTCTTTTTTTCCTCTGTGACTGTGATGTAATATGTTATTATTTGGAAGTAGCATGAGTCATTCCTTTAGTACTTGATGGTTGACATCTAGGTTGTGCTCACACTCTTGATATTATAAGAAATATTATGTCAGTTGAATGTATATTATTTTATACAAATTCAAATGTATTTGTAGAAGACATTCCCAAAGTGGGATTGCTAGGTTAAAGGGTACAGATGTTGATATACCTAAGCTCCCCCTCCCCCGCAGGGGTTTCTAATTTTGCATTCTTGTAAGCAGTGGAAATGGATTGAGATTGCTTGTTTCCCACAGCCTTGCCAATACTGTGTTGGCAGTCTTATTAGATTTTTGCCATTTTGATAGGCAAGAAGTGGTATCTGAGTTTTCATTTATGCTTTCCCCATTATGAATCTGATTTGGAATTCTTTCATATATTTAAAACCATTTGCATATTTTTTCTGTGATTGCTTATCCTTGGCTCACTTTCCTACCAAGTTGCTGATCTTTCTTTTCTAGGTTACTAGATACTTTTTATATGTTAGAGATATTGGTTCCTTGTATGTGATCAGAGTTCTAAATAATTTTTTTCCTGTTTGTCATTAGGCTTCAGCCTTTGCTTACAGAACTTTTGCCTCACAGTCATATTTAGAAAAATAATTAATATTTGTCATTTTTTTCTTTCTTGGCCTGTGAAGTTTGCGTTTAACAATAGAAAGAAGCAGCACTTTCTGAATGGACTGGAATGTCATCAGGAGCATTAACAGTGTAAATTGCATAACTTTGTGTATGGCAGAGACATTGGAATAGTCTATGACAATGGCATGCAGATATATTTCAATAATATATTCAACACCACTTTGCATTTCTGTAAATTAGGGGTTTTTATATGTAGAAAGCTTGGAAAGAGTGACCATTCTTTCAAATCTGTATGGATAAAAGACGATTTTAATTTGGTCAGCACTTGGAGAGAAGCCTCTTTCTTTCAGAATAAATGTTATAAAGTTGTGAATATGTCTCCGTGGTCACTTATATAGTGACTTCTTCCAATTCAGTGCCTTATTAGTTATATGTCCTCTAATTAAGGATTTTAGATATGAGTATTGCTATAGATTTGAACATAACAAATGCATCCATGCCTTATGATAGATGGGTAACAGAAATAAAGTGAATAATAATTTTTATTAGCAGCAACTGTTAGGCATGATGATAATTGTTTTCATTAGATATATTATTGAATAATACTATTTGGACACCTTGCTAATTGAATCAGTTGGTGATCATTTGTTTGACTTTGAAGTTTTTTTTGCATATAGGCATTAAACCTGTGCTTTAAAAAAATAATTTGTGTGAATGTTCTGAAATTAAAATCAGCATTATTATAAAATTTTAAAAAGTTAATTAGTTTTTAACAATTGAAAATAGCCAACTCAAATATGATGATATGTTGAAAATTAAGTGTATATAGGCGTATGGAATTGCTTTAGTTATTTTTTAGTTATAAAATGTAGGGCTTTTCATTTTTGAATGTTCTAGCAATTATATATTTAGTAATTGGTACTTTTATAGTTGGAGCAAAAATTATAGGAATAAGAAAACAAAGTTTAGCCTTTCCTGAAATTTAAGTGTTTAAATGAAATTCAAAATAGTCAAAACATTTAAAGTCCTAGCTTATAAAGATATTATTGTTCAAAAGACTTGTGAAAGAGATAGAATTATCATAGTCCAATTATTTTTTCTTAGTCGTCTTTTCTAGAAAAGAGAGGAAAAAAAAAAAAAAAAAAGTTGGATGCTTTCCAAGAGCTAGCTGTATGTGTGTGCATGAGAAGTTATAATCACTTGATTCAAGTCTGAGTTTTATTGGACAGGCTTGTCTGGTGGGTTAAAATCCCTTCATCCTCTCCCAGATGATAACTGGCTTGTTTTTCTCCCTTTAAAAATAGTAAGAACTTGTTTTTTATGTCTATCTCAAACTTGGTGGCATAGGCCACTTTGGCCTCCTATACTGCTGGCTTAAAGAAGGAATGAAATATGAAAAGACAAAAACAAAGAAGGGCATAAAAGAGAAGGTAAGGAAAGGAACAAAGCTCAAATGAAAGAAAAGGAGAATATTGAGGATTAAAAATGATGGAATAAATTCAAAGAAGGAAGGAGGGATAGTCTGCAATGCTAAATGTTCTAAAAGAGAATCTAATCATCTTAGAATATGTTTTTTGATGTAAGAGAATAGAGTTTTAAAGTGAAGAAATATCAAAGTTGAGTACTTTTTAAAATTATATAAAAATCATACTCAAGGCCAACATACCACTTTTGGCCTAAGACAATTTTAGGTAATGTTTGATAAACTTATTTTTTGCTGTACATGTCTCAAATACACATATTTGAGAAAAATACTGCTATTCACATTTTGATGGTGTCTAGCCTAGATTTTAGAGGTAATTAACCTAGTTTTTCAAGGAAAATTAATTGAAGTTATATATTTAAAAAATTGTTAAATTTAAAAATTATAAAAATGTTAAATTATGTTGTTTTCCTGAGAGAGAATTATCAATATATTTTTAGATTATTTTTGTCCATTTAAAGAATATTGTTATTAGGTGTGTTTATAATTATTTTCAAAATTAGTTTGCATTTAATTAGAAATAAAAATTTAAAAATATAGAAAATATTAATGTAATGCTGATAGGAAAACATTAAAATGTTCAGATTATTTCAGATCTCTGTTAAAAATATTAAATAATTCAAGTTATTTAATTTGTTAATACTTTTGCATTTCAGTGCTCAGTTACAGTCGATTAGCTATACCCTTCCCCTAATGGTAATTGCTTCCCCTAATGGTAATTAACCAAATTGAGAATGCTTTAATCCAGGAAATATGATGCTTAGCTTTTTTTTTTTTTTTTTTTTTTTTTACCATAGGTGTAATGTTACATTGATAATATTCATATCCAGAAAAATTTCAATGACAGTACATATTAATGTTTTTTAAAATGTCTTAATGGGATTTATTTGTTTTGCTTTTTCTCTGTTACTAATTTTTGCTCATAGAATGGTCATTTTCAAGATTTAGATTGGTTACATAAACCTAACACTGTTACCTACAAGAAAACTTTAAGTGGAATGCCTTATTTGAAATATTTCTTTTGTTGTCTGTATGTGTGGAATGAAACCATTGGAAGGCAGAGCTGCTTGTTCTCACCTTGTGTCTTTAGGGGAATAGACAAAGCAGAATGTTCCATCGGTATCGAAGCACACAGTCAGTCATGGTGGGGTTTGGCCCTGCTTTGGGAATATGTTATAACTTACTTGTTAAAATGAGCATATAATTTCCTCTGTGAGCTTTATAACTATAAAGTTAAAAAGGTTTTATATTATTTATTGTTCTATCATAAACATAATGAATATTAGACAGTTGTTTTCATAATCATTGCTTATTTGGCTTATAATTTTGAATGCCATTAATGGGAATGTTGAACATTTCAGTACTTGAAAACAAATTGTATCTTTATCGTGTGCTATTTATTCTGTGTACCCAGATTCTAAGTCTCATTGGGCTATTGTTTGCTATTTTCTGTTTATTATTGCGTACAGTGCCAGAAAAACGTATTCAAACACAGTTTTGGTGAGGAAAAACTACAATAATATTTCATGTTCGTAAACATCACATACAAATAGATATTAAATGCTATTAGTCTTTAAAACTAATTTCCACTTCTTGTTGTATCAAAATTCCAGGGCTTCTTTGCACATTGGTTATTAAGGAACTATTTTTAGCAATGTTGGATTACTTGGGATTTATTTAAAAATCAAAATATAAATAATTATAAATATGTTAACACATAGCACAGTATAAGGTATCTAATAAATATTGTACTTTTGGTTGATATTTGTGCATTTTACTGACTGTTTCAGCAAAGCCGTAGGAAGTGTGAAAGACATTGAGTTACTGGATCTGTTATTATTTTTGAGTTATTATATACTGGATATAGCTCAGTATTTTTTGAAGTAAGCTTGTTGATAATTATTAAGAACACAGGATATCTTTTTGTAGTGTGTGGTTTTCTCCCCCTCTATATTAGGAAACCTAACATTCATTTGTTGGGAAAGATAATTGTTTACATCCTTGATAGGCTGTCTACTAGTATATTTTATTGTATTTACAAGCATTGAAATGTTTGGTTTCATAAAAGGCATTTTTAACAAGAACCATGTACTTAATTTTAATGTTACTTAATGATCTATTAAAATTTTTATTTTGGCAAATACAATTCTATTAAAAATAATTAAGTCTCAAGTGATTGTTTATTGTCAGATAGGATGTACATATTAAATGTTTCTGCATTTAAGTCTCCACATTGGTAAGGTGTGTGTAGTTTTATGGTAAATTACATTGTTCCATTTGATTGATAGCTGAAATTCTTTGTAGCTTTTAGGAATAAATTTTAATCATATTGTTTTAAGATAGTATTTTAAATATGACTAAGTATTATATGCATATTGGTATACTTTTTTATGAATATGGCACATTAAGATGCATGGATATATTTTCTTATCATACTTAAGGTAGTTAATCTTTTTTGTATTATATCTTAACTTTTATGCTAAAATACAGCATACTTGGAGTATTTTTTTTTAATCAGATTGCAAACAATGTTCATTAAAAGTGCTTTTTGTGTCAGATTTTATGAAAAGTTATGACCAATGTTTTGGGAGTATGATTTTAACAAGTTACATAATATATATTAGAGTAATTTTTAAAAGATCTAATATTTAAACTTTACATATGTTTTCAACAACTTTATAATGAGAAATATTCTACAGAAGAGTTAACAATTAACAAAGCACCTGTTCCACTTAATTAATACTGATGGGTTTGGTGGAAACAGCTCAGAACTGGAAATTAGGACCATTCCGTACAACTAGAAATTATTATTATAAAGAATTTTAAATGTGTTGGATAAATATAGAAACAAGTAATTTTTAAAAAAGCAAAATTTGACAAATGATATTGGCTTAATGCCTAACTAATATTTTATGTAATTAGTTGGGTTTATAATAACTCATAAGATCTCTAATAGTTCAATAATTCGGTGTGATTTAGTCACTACTGATTTCTAAAATATCAACAGCATAATTACCAGTGTGTACTTTTTATTTTATTGTCTCTTCTCATATAGTGTTATCCAATTTCTGATTTATTTTATTTAGAATGTTATATTGTTTAAAAAATGACAAGGCTAAAATATATTGAGTCTAGTTTGTCTAATAATAAATAGGCATCATTGATTCCAGGAAATAAGTGTTGCCTTCCGAATTTGAAGATACTTCTCTCTTTTTTGTTTTGATATTTTAATGTTAAAATATTTACAGTTTCTATTCAAACACAGTTATCAATTAAATGTACATACATGGAATGCCTGCTATATAAAAGTTCTCTGCATAATAATGGCTCGTGCTTATGTGTGAAAGATAGGGTCATCTATTAATTGTCTTTTAAATTTAATTTGTAACTATGACAGAATTTATTGTAGCAGTTATGAGAATTTGTAATTTAAAATTTATACTGCCATGTAAAATGGTTTGCATTACAAATATAGTTTTTCTGTTGTTGTTAATCTTTTAAAAATATCTTTGCCTCACAAATATTTAAATAACAGTATGTCACCAGTTTTTTCTCCTTTGCATTTTTAGAGGCTCAGGTAAACAGGATGGATTTTATTGAAAGTCTTAATATTTCTTAAGGATAGCAATTGATGGGATTCATAGTATATCATTTTTTATGAATCATGATAGATGATGTTCAGGATAGATCTGTTGTCCTCTTTCAGAGAGCTCTCATTCCGAAGACTGTTGAATAGACGTCAGGACACAGCCTCATCAGAGAGGTGTGTGTTTGCCAGGCAGCTTCGCAGTTAGACTCAGATATTGTGCCTCTTTTGGGACCTTTAAATGAAGGCTGTTTCCTTACAGGACTTATTCTTACAGGTCAATGATAAATGTTTCCTAACATTATCAAATCTTAGGGATCTTGATTATTTCTTTTGTTTTTAAAGGATGAAAATGACCCCTTTATTTTAATACAGAAAATGACTAAGTATTGTTTTGTGTTGTCTTTTTCAAACTATCTCATATGCATTTTCTATGTAAGTAAATACAGTTTATACTATTACTCTTAAAAGCTATTTTGTGTTCTGTGATCTATGTACTAGTACTTATTGCATATTTAGGTTGTTTCTGATATTTTACTTTTTATATATTAAAAGGCTAATATGCACATCGACCAAGTGGCAGAATGACCAGTCGCTATGATACACATTGACCACCAGAAGGCAGACTCTCAATGCAGGAGCTGCCCCCTGGTGGTCAATGCACACCCACAGGGGGAGTTCAGTTCAGCCAGAGCCCTGAGCAGGGCTCAGGGCTGGTGAGTGCAGCGGTGGTGGTGGGAGTGCTAAGGATGTCCAACTGATGACTTAGCCCACTCCCTAAGCCAATGGTTGGCAAACGGCGGCTCGTGAGCCACATGCGGCTCTTTGAACCCTTGAGTGTTCTAATGCCATTTCTTCAAAATAGACTTGCCCAGGTCGTAAACCGACTTCTGTGCATGGGCCACAAAGTTTCAATTGCACTGTATGTTCGCCCCCGCACGTGGTATTTTGTGGAAGAGCCACACTCAAGGGGCCAAAAAGCCGCATGTGGCTCGTGAGCTGTGGTTTGCCGACCACTGCCCTAAGCCATCAGTCGGACATCCCCCAAGGGTTCCTGGACAGTGAGAGGACATAGGCTGGGCTGAGGGACCCCTCTGAGTGCACAAATTTTGTGCACCAGGCCTCAAGTCCTGTAATACTTTTCTATTGCCATATCAGTTTTTTTCCTTTTACCTCTCCCATAATTCCCAGGAATACATTCTGAAAGTGAAGTTTTTGGGTCCAGAGGGTATTTGCTTTAGAATTTATTGCTGTGGCAGATTGCCCTTCAGGATGAATGATTGTGTCAGTTTGTGCTCTCACCTACAGAATGCATTAGTGCCCTTTTCCCTCTACCTGTTCCACACTGTGTGTTATTTATCTTTTAATTCCTTAAAATTAGTAAATGAATAGTTATGCTTTTAAAAATTAATGATACCTGACTTATTTCCTTTCCAAGCAAGTTTTCTTATTCATTGAAGGGGAAGGATAGAGGAAGTTCGGGCAAAAGTTAATTCTGTTCTAAATAGTAGCTAGAGGTGTCACAATGCTCATGTAGATTCTCTTAGTAGTTAAGCAGTTTGGTAGAATACTTGCTTACATATATTCTACAATGGAGGGTCCCTTACAAATTAGATTAATATTTCTACCACAAATTCCATAAAGCAAAATCTATTTCACTGCACAGTATACTAGCTGGAGTCGAGTGTGTGTATTATTAAAGAATCCAACTTGGCTTGAATTTCTGTTCTACCTCTTACTAGCCATGTGATCTTGGGCAAGTTACCTAACTTCTTTGGACCTCAGTTTTTCTAAACCATAAAATGAGAACATCTTCCTCACAGGATTGTTGCAATGAGATAATGTATATAGTATGTTTAGCATAGTATCTTTATATTCTAGGCACTAAAAAAAAATAAAAACCTTTATTATTTGTCATTGTTATTCTATTTATTATTATTACTAGTACCACCATCATTATTATTTTTATTATTAATACAATAACGTTCTTTCTCATTCCTTAACTTTAGTTGATAAAAATTTTTTTTTAAAAGAGCAAGATAATGAGAAATAGCAGCAGTAGGAATTTCCTTAGGTCAAAGGAGATAAAAATATGGTAGGGTCATGTTTCTGTCAATTTATAAGAACAAATAGAATTGAGCACATGATTCTGTAAAGTACTTTCATCGATATCTGACATGTAAGAAATCATATCTCATTATTTCTCCCATTACACACTACTTAAATGAAATAGGTAAACTGTAGACTGCATTCACATATAGACAAAACTTAAGGCAAACTGGAGATACTGATAAAACTTGGCCAGCTTTTTCTTTAGTCTTTGGTATTTTACAACAACATATCTCAAAAGAAGCAATTTTTTTTATTACCTGACTTATTTCCTTTTCCTATTACTCTTCATGAGCAAAGAATAAATGTAATTTGTTTTTGTTTTTAAATATATATATATATATTTTATTGAGTTTTTACAGAGAGGAAGAGAGAGGGATAGAGAGTTAGAAACATCGATGAGAGAGAAGCATCGATCAGCTGCCTCTTGCACACCCCCTACTGGAGATGTGCCCACAACCAAGGTACATGACCTTGACCGGAATCGAACCTGGGACCTTTCAGTTTGCAGGCCGATGCTCTATCCATTGAGCCAAACCGGTTTTGGCAATAAATGTAATTTGTTATACAGAATATTTTGTCCAACAGGACTTGCTATCAGCATATCAGTTATGTACCTTTTTGAAAGGATCATCTTCAGCAAGTGGAAAGATATGTTAAACAGAATCAGGTTGATATGATA